TATAATTTTGTGTACGTAAAGGATCTAGATCGGTTGGGATATTTAAAACCCGAAAAACTAGAAAGATCCTAAAAATTAGAAAATACATGAAAAATCCAAAAATACTTACTAACATGAAAACATGTTCTAAAAGTCAAATAAATACCCAAAAAATATTGAATTATCCAAAATTCCCTAAATTTTACTTCAAATCTGATCTGAAGAACCAAAAAGTACCTAAATTTGAAATTTTACCTGAAACTTGAAACTACAACTAGAAACCCAAACCTCAAAATTAAAATTATCCGTAATACTGAAAGCATATTGGAAATGCCCAGATATACCTAATATACATAAAATATTATAGGTATTTGAACTGAACGGGTCTCGGGTAGGACCTTTTCACTCGAAGAGAGACCTGTAAGTCCAAAAAAAATATTCAATAGGTACTTTTCCCTCGACCTAGACTAAACTCGAACATGTATTTTTTGGGTCAGTTTTCAGTTTGGTTTTTCGGGCGGGTAAAATACTTAGGCCTAAGAGAGAGTTACATAAGAGTGTACATATGAAATCGCAAATAAACTATTTCAGAAATTATAATATTTTCTAAAAGATTTTTTCGATATAATATGAATTTTTAACATAATAGTATACATCAACCATAAAATACTGTTTCATATCAAAAGTTGTTTGTAATCCAAAATAACATGTTCGAAAAATAACCCGCTCTTTCGAATCGCGGATCAAAACTAGTTACTAGTCTATAATCTGCGCGTTAAAAGCGGAGAAATACTTTTAACAAATTAAATTTAATAAAAGGAAATAAAAGTTTTTGGTGTGTATGATAATAGAGAATTTGCACTCGGTATACACAGATAATATACTAATTTGCACATTGGGAAGTTCTACTGTACACTTTTCATAATGGCTGTTCTGCCCCTATACCAACCTACACGAACCTATAAGCTTTCTCTTTCTTCTTTTTATTGCGTAACTTCTTCTCTGTCCTCTTTCCTCTTTCCTCAAAAACTCATCTGTACTTTTCCATCATAATTTTAAAAGAATCCCTAAATTAATCCGGAGAGATTACAGAGAGAAGGGTTTCAAAAAAGGAAGATGAGGTTCCGATCTGTTTTAGATAGAGCTATGGCGGAGGAGAAGTTTGACGTTCTGACCAAACCCAGGAATGTGTCCTTTCCCCATTTTGGTAACTTGTGTCAAAGGTGAAAGCTTTTTTTGCTAATTCTGTCAAAGTTTACAGCTTTGTTTTCTAGCTTGTGTCAATTTTTTGAATTTGTGTCAACTTGATCCTTTAGTGTGTCATTCGATCCCATCATCAAAGTTGTCTTTTGAAAGAAATCTGAACTTTCAGATTTAGTCTGGCCAAGATGAAAAAAAAGACATGTAATTTCAGTTTATTCATTAGAATCTTCTTGAAAGTTTATTTATCTCTGTGGCCGGATGCATATAATAGTGACCGGTTAAGATAAACATTATACGTCTAAGCAATATTAATACCAACTCAAGCTCATGTACGTTTTGTTTCAGGTCTATTATCGTCGATGGGACTTCAGTCTCCAGCAAAGATCTTATAGAGATATTGCAGAGAGGACCAGGCAAAAATTTATATCAGTAACAAGTTTAGTTTAGCCGCTTTTATCAGAAGATAACCGTCTGGTTGTAAAGCATAAATTTGCGATTAATTAACCGGTTACAAATGTATTTACCTAATCATACTATAGTTTAGCTTCTTATTACTTTCACTTTGTTAATGATGTAATATTGTAAAGAGAACTTGGTGCCAAAACCAGCTAATATTTTTTTGTTATAGTTAGCCAGTTATGGTTATGCAAACAACAAATTCAATATTAGTACAATTTAAGATACAATATCAGTAAAACATAAATAATTTGCTATGTGGTATCATAAACCAGCTAACAATAGGCATAACCATATAAAGAATATAAAATATTTTAATAGGAAATCTTATGTTTAGCTGAATATAAAATATTATATACGGCTAACTATATTTTTATTATATATGTTTTGATTTGTTAGAGGGTTAATTTTATGTAACCGTAAAATTAAATTTAGTCATATGTTTTGCGATTTATTAGATAGTTAATTTAATATTTAGCCGTACACGTAAATTTATTTCTGCAAATTGTTTGAGAGTTAATTTTATATTTGGCCGAACAAAAAATTAATTCTATGTATTGTGATTTGTTAGACAGTTAATTTTATGTTTAGTTCAACACATATTTTTTTTACATCCACTAGTCCAAACACCATATATAAGTTTATTACCCACATATTATCAATATTGTAATTTCAGTTGTAATATTGATGTGTTTGTTTATGTAACCAGCTAACTATAACAGAAAAGGGTAAATAAAATTTGTTAACCGGTTATTTCACAAATTATATTATTATTAAATAAAAATGAAAAATATTTCCAAGAATTATGATAACAACCAAGAAGAAGTACACTAACTACTTGGGTACTTTACCCTTAACTGATCCACTGGAGATTGTAGTTGACATGGTAAAGTGGTGGTGGATGGTGATGAGACGAGTTCATGCACCGCCGTGTAATCACATCCAAAATGAATCATTTATTATGCATGTGATCCAAGAGTAAAAATTGTTTTTTGTACTTCATATATGATTGGATAGACAAAAGCTTTTAGATCTAATTAAAAAGAGATTATACTTTATAAAACTGAAATTTGTCTCTTGAAATTTTGATCTGTCAAGAAAAAAAAAAGAGACAAAGATTCTGAAAAAGTTAAAGAATAGAAAAAGAAAAAGAAGAGAGAGAAAAACAGAAATAGAAAACGTGAGAGAAGAGACAAAATCATGTTTCTCTTTCTGACCGCACCAGAGCTATAGGGGCAATTGTGTCAATTTGACCGTGAACAGTTTGGGTTTCAGTGTGTTTTTGGCCCAAATTCCATATTTGCAAATTTCAAATTTATGTGGTATTTTGATGCAAATCGCTCATGATAATATTATATAATTTTATTGCTTTGTATTTATACTAAATATAAAAATCATATATAAAAATATTTTTTTAACCCATACTACGAATTCTCTCGTGTAATGAACTGTTATGAATCTATGTATTTTATTTAAATAAACTCTGATATATTAAAAATATTATACAGTTTATTTAATGTCAAATTATTTATTTTAATATCTCATCTTTTATATATCAAATAATATGTGGTAATATTAATAAGAAAACTAATAAAAAGTAAAGCTAGTGTTTTATATTATTTAGTCACAAGTTTAATTATTATATATTTGTAAACATGATTAGTAGTATAATGATGTCTTACATTAAAAATTTATAAAAAAAAAATAACACTTTTAATTAAAAAGAACACTTTTCATACATAATTTTCATCTATATTAAAATAACTGGAAAACACCATGTAAGGGTACATATTAAACTCCATCTCTATAATTTTATTTAGGTTTTGGTTGATTTCTTAACATAAAAGGTAGTCCACGAGAATATAGGAAAATATCTTTATATTTTCATTATTTTTGATTAATTATATGTTAGAGGGAGAACAATGGAAAATTCAAAAGCTTTAGAAAAAGTTTTCAGTTTGGCTGTTGATTGAACACATGTTAAACTATTTGTTTACGGAATGTCTCCTAAACTACTCAATAAGTTACAAAATTTTGATTGTTCCACAAAATATTAAGATTACTGAATTGGTGCATTCACTTTTTCTTCACAATTGATAAAGACATATAATCGAATATCAACATTCCTACCCTTAGACAAGCACCAAAACCAAGATCCGGAATTAAAAAGGTGGTTGTTGGGTTCTGTGAAATCATTGAAGGTCTGTTTATCCAAGCTAACATCAACTTCAACTTAGAAGACATCAGCAACCATCTAGACAAGCTCTCCATTGCCGGATTAGATGTTAAAGAAGACATACCTTATGTTATACAAGACGTTCCAAGATATGATGCGATCCTAGGGTCGATCATTCTGCATAAAGAGATGGTTTCCTTAATTATTTACCATAGTGAAACAGTGTGAACAATACAAAAAGACAAGTTCCAAACGACAAAACTTCACTCTTCATCAGTTCATCTCTCATTCCAACGGCTACCTTATCTCATTTCAATCCACCAAAAGGTAAGTAAGGTAAACACATTTTTATTATTTGATTTACTTCATTTTCCTTGCAGGTTTTGACTCTTCCTTTATTTTATTTTTGAATAAAACAAGATATTTTGTAACCTATTGCTTTCTTTAGGTCCTAGGATTGACTCATGTATTAAATTTGCTTCAAAGATCCCTAGAAAGGCACAACTGCATAAACAAATATATAAGCTCCTATAAGCAGTTAAGTATCTTTCAACATTTATGAAATATATGAGTTAGTTTGCCCCTAGAAAATACCTAAGTCTATTCAGAGTTGTTAGAAGCAATCTTGAGAGCAAATCGTGTCTTATGAAGCTCAGTCCATAGAGTTTGTGGCGGCTATCCGATCCATTCGATTGTGTGATTCAATCGGCCTCTATTTCATCTTCCATACATTGTTCTTGTTGGGTTGTTTCATTCGAACAAATGACTTGAATCCATCTTCCATCAACACGCCATCAATCGATCCATTGAGATAGTAAGTCTGTTTGTACGATTTTAATATAATTTATGATTGTTATATTTGGTTAAAGATAATACATAATATGTTAATGGAGAAAAATATGAATAAAGAATATATAAAATTTACGTCACAAAATACATAATAAATAACATTCACATTTAAATTTTATTAAAAATTTACAATATTCTTAAAATTAATTAAATTATTATTGTTATAGAATATTTTTACTCAGCAAAATTGCAAACAACCACCTAATTTATTTTTTCCGAAAGAAAGGAAATGAAGCGAAGACCACAACACTGTGGGACCAACCACTTTCTCTCAACTACTCCTTATTTCTTAATAACACAATTAGCGACGACTTTTAAATACAAACCGTGACTGAATGTCTTCTTCTTCCTCCTTCCTGGTTCCTACTCACAAGTCACAAATATATATTCATACATACAAATCAACAGCATAGGCACATTAATAAGTTTTGATAGAAAAGAAAACAAAATGGGTTTTCGTGGGAAATTCTTCTTCCCAGTTCTCATGACTACTCTATCGTTATTTCTAATAATCAGATACACCTACATAGTCTCCGGTGATCCTCCTCTCCAGCAAGATCTCCCTGGACGCCGGTCATTTCCTTCTGGAGATGACGTCATATTTTCCGTCAAGACTCCGTCGAAGAAGACCAAGAAACTTTTTCACACCGCGGTCACAGCCACCGACTCCGTGTATAGCACGTGGCAGTGTCGGATCATGTACTATTGGTACGATAGGTTCAGGGACGAACCCGGTTCGGAGATGGGAGGATATACCCGGATCTTACATTCAGGTCGACCCGATGGGCTCATGGATGAGATCCCTACCTTTGTTGCTAACCCTCTTCCATCTGGTGTTGATCAGGTTCATTGTTTTATAATTATTTTTGTTAGTGGTGATGAATATAATATAGATGCATAGCATATACAGCTAAAAACTTATAATGATCATGATATTAGTTTTCTATTTTAAGTTTATAACTGAAAATAGCTAGCTGCCATCAACAAAACTAATCACCGATCTTGTGCGATACTCCCTTGGTTTCAAAATAATACATATTATAGAATTTTCACACATACTCCCTACGTTCAAAAAGAATGTCACTTAGACATGTTTAACATAGATTAAAAACATGATTGAAATGCAAGTATGTATGTATTAATTACACTTTTTAATCAATAGTATTTCAGATAAATAAATTTATTTATAGTATCAATGTATTTTGCAATTAATATTAAGCTGAAAGTAAATAAAATTATATTAAAATTCTAAAATAACGCTTTTTGTGTAACAAGTAAAAAACGGTAAAGTGGCAAAAATAGAGGGAGTATTAATAAAACATACTCTCTTAATTTCAATATAGTCCATGTTTTTGAAAAAAATATTATTTCTAAAAAAATACATATTTCACATTTTCAATGTATATAATAATGGTAAATTGTATAGTTCAGAAAATTAACTGTGTTTGCTGCATTTTGATTGGTTAAAATTATGGGAAATAACTAATCACAAAAGATACATTTATTAACATGTGTTCTTAATATGTGTAAAAACTTTAAAACATACATCATTTGGAAGGGATGGAGTTTTATTTTAACTATAAATGCATAATTTTTTTATAATTATCTATTTTCCATGATTTTAAACGAATAAAAATTCAGTAATTTCAATTAAATTTCTTGAATTTTACATTTACACATTATTCGTAGACAAAACATGCATCGAAAATATGTATCTTTTTCAAATGATTTTTTCTAAAATATGTATATTTTCGGAACTGATGGAATATAAATTATAAATAACTAATGTTTAAGCTGTATAAGTAAAAATTATTTCCAATAAACATAAATATTTTCATTATTCTATGAACTTTAAGCAAAACTGTATAAACCATGGATAATATGTGTGACTTTTATTCCAATGATGATGAAATAAGAAATATTACTTGCAGAAAAAATCATATAATATTGTCATGCTGAATAGTGTATAATGTGCAGGGATATGTAGTTCTAAATAGGCCTTGGGCGATTGTGCAATGGCTTCAACAAGCACATATAGAGGAAGAGTATGTACCATTCTACATTCTCAGTTCTTGTTTTCATAATATTTACTGTGATACCTAAACAATTATTTTATTTTAAGTGATCCCCCATTAGGGACTGTTGATTTTAACCCCCATATCTAGGTATGGAGATGCCTCTTTTGATGATCATATGTTTTCTTCTCTTCTTGATAACTATTTCAGTTACATTCTTATGGCGGAACCTGATCATATTATAGTTAAACCAATACCAAACCTAGCCAGAGGCAGTATGGGGGCTGCGTTTCCCTTTTCATATATTGAACCCAAGAAATATGAACTGGTTCTCCGCAAATTCTTCCCCAAGAAGAATGGCCCGATATCGAGAATCAACCCCATTGGTAACTCTCCAGTGATAGTCTCTAAGGTATAGTAATCTTATCCCTAAGCCAAGTCTTTTAGAGTATATATATATAGTTCCGTGGATACTAATCTAATTTTGGTTTAGTAGAATGCATTGATGAAAATTGATCCAACATGGATGAACGTTTCTTTAGCTATGAAGAATGACCCACAAACAGATAACACTTTTGGTTGGGTCCTTGAAATGTAAATTTCTCTTACTCTTCTTTGATGTCAAATTCTAGCTACAATCTTAGATTCATCGATTTATGTTGACTTATACTATAAGGTATGCCTATGCTGTTTCTTCGGCGTTACACGGTGTGAGCAACATTCTACACAAAGACTTCATGATTCAGGTTTTGATCATTAAAGTTTTATTTTGTGTAAACTGTAAACTGAGACCTTCAGACTTTTGGAATATATACAAGTCATTCTTTTGTGTAGCCTCCTTGGGACACTGAAACAAATAACACGTACATCATACATTACACTTACGGCTGTGATTTTGACATGAAGGTACGTAAAATAATGGAACGAGAATCAAATAAACGAAGTTAGCAAAGATGTTAGATAAGTTTGGGTTATACACTTTGTCTTATGGGTTTCATAACTTACAGGGAAATGTAATGCATGGGAAGATCGGAGAATGGAGATTCGATAAACGGTCTTACGGGGATAAACCGCCTCCAAGAAATCTCACACACACACACACACATTTTAGACCAAAAAAAAAAAAAGAAATCTCACATTGCCACCCCAAGGTGTTCCTGAGAGTGTGGTATGTATAGCTTCAAGCCTTCAACAATGTCTCTGTTTCTTTTTTGTTGTTTTAGTTCTCTACACAATTCTGAACTAATTGGACAACACATTGCAGGTGACATTGGTGACAATGGTGAACGAAGCTACGACTAATATTCCTAACTGGGCATCCTAAAAGATTTTTCTTAAAAAAAAAAGCAATACTACATTCCTTTACCCTGTTCCATAGTTTTTACTATTCAAATATTGAATTACAATTTTGAATTTTTTTGAATAGCTGTTAGAGAATGGTAACCTGCTTCACAATCAATCATACCAAAACTTTATATCGCAAAACAAAAAAGCTGAAGAAAACAGACCAATATCAGGCGAAAAGAAGCGTCTGATTCAAAATATAGTAACATTTAAAACCAGCATGATTTCAAGAATTAACAAATTCTTATCCAAGAAAATCTTTATACTGAATTATGTTATACGCTTTAGCAGCATCAAACATATAATTATACTGAATTAACAGATTCTTATCCAAGAAAATCTTTAAAAACAGATCAAGAACTATCTAAGGAGAAGACTCTAACTGGTGATACGTGTAGTTTGTTCCTCTTAGGAAACTTTTCACTGCAGGTATAATGAGAGAGACAAGGAGACATATTAATCATAACATAGAGCTGAGAACATAACACTCCGTAAATCATACCTTTAAACTGAGGCTAGTGTTCCAAAAAAAAAAAACTGAGGCTAATCATCTGATTTCTCCTTTTGCCTTCACCTACAGATTGCACCTTGATCTCAACTTGTCTTGACCATATCACTCCATAGCTGACAGCTTGGTTTGCATTAAATTTGTGAAATAAGAGCACATATGTGGTCAAAGCCAATGGTATGAGGGTTCTAAGAAATTCCATTCGTAAAGTCACACCAATTATTCTACCTATGTAGTGACACTATAATATTCACCAAATCCATGGTACTTTCTTCTCCTCGTCAATGAAGACCTACAAAATTAAATCTGATTGTCAAGACTGGTACCTTATTAAATTTCAAGAACTTGCTCGTTGTCACAAATTTGGCTTCAATCTTAGTCTTAATCCTTATCTCTCAATCTCATCTGACCCATCGTTCGGAGAAAGATCGGAAACGTCTCTTCTCTTACACAAGACAGAATCACAACATCACCTTCGCCAAATGGTAAATGGCCTACTTATTTGTGGTCACATGGAGAAAAACAACACAAACAACAGCAAAAAAAAAAAAAATCATACAAAACACTATAGAAAAAAAAATCGACCTTAATCATATTATTCAACGTCAAGGCTAGTTTTATACAACGACGTACATATTAATTGTAACATGGAGCAACACAAACAATAGCAAAGGCAAAAAAAATCATAAAAAACACTAGAGAAACAAAAAAAATCTAACCTTTACTTTTCAAAAAAATTATGGATGATGCACATCTATTATGATTCCTCTGAACTCATGATCCTGATAATCGAATGATCATCTTAGTGTTTGTGATCAAAGGAAGAAGATGAAGTTGTAACAAAGTTTCTTATTTCAGTTTAGTGATAAAAGAGTACAATATCAAGCTTATATAGTGAGCTTGTCACCGGTTTACAAGACGAAATAAACCTGAGACTAAACCACATTAAACCGAGATATTGACTACACTAATATTTCCCCTCAAGATGGAAAATATATGTACTTTAAAGCCATCTTGCCCACCAAGAGTAGAACTGAGGAGAGTATAAAGGCTTCGTAAATATGTCAGCAGCGTGGTTGTTTGTGCGAACATGTAGAAGCTTGATGAAACCACGTATAACACATTCTCGAACCTGATGGAAATCGAGCATAATATGTTTGGTACGCTCGTGAAAGACATGGTTACTAGCAATATATATAGCTGCAGTCGAATAACAATAGAAAGCCACCGGACCATGTTGAGGAGATTGTAACTCTGCCAACAGATTTCTTAACCAGATGACTTCACGTGAACCATACTCCATAGCTCTGTACTCAGACTCTGCTGATGAATGAGAGACAGCTTGCTGTTTCTTGGACTTCCAAGAAATCAAAGCATTACCAAGGAACATACAGTATCCAGAGGTAGAGCGTTAAGAGTCTAAGCAAGAAACCCAACCTGCATCTGAAAATGCTTTGAGGTCTAAGTCAGATTCAACAGAGTAGAAAAAACCAAGACTAATAGTCCCTTTGAGATAAGGTAAAACCTTCAGAGCCGCTTGAAAATGAGACTGTTTTGGGGCTGATGTAAACTGACAAAGCGTGTTCACAGAAAAGGTGATGTCCGGCCTAGTAATGCTCTAATATATCAACCGTCCAACTAGTCTTCTATAAGCAGCAGGGTCTTCAAGTAATGGCTCTGCAGAATCCATACAAAGCTTAGCACTAGGATCCTTAGGAATAGATGATGGCTTACATGCCAAGAGTCCAGCATCTTCTAAAAGACCCAATGTATATTTCCATTGCACACTGAGATGCCTTTTGCAGAACGTGCCACTTCAAGACCAAGAAAGTATTTCAAAGGTCCAAGATCTCGTAGTTTAAAAGCAACGTTCAAAGCAATCTTCAACTGATCAACATCTTGATCATCATTTCTAGCAATGATGATGGGTCAACATACACCAAAACAGCTGTGTAAACACCTCGAATATGTCTGATAAACAAGGTATGATCAGCATTGGATTGGCGAAAACCAAGATCAAGAAGTGTGCCACTAAACTTCAGAAACCACTGTCTTGAAGCCTGCTTCAAGCCATAAAGAGATTTTCTCAATTTGCAGATTGCATTTGGTGGTAATTGTTCCCCCTTCTTTGGTGTGTATCCTGGAGGCAACGTCATGTAAATTTCTTCATCCAAGTCGCCATTTAAGAAAGCATTGGATATGTCTTACTGTGTAAGACTCCACTTCTTTGCAGCTGACACATAAAGTAAAGTTTTGACAGTGTGGGAACCGAAATTCCCCTGCTGCCAAGATTACGAAAATAAGGGAATTTAGAGTAAACCCTAATTTTCCAAAGGATCCGGCTATCTGCGGAATCGCACAAGAACAATCAAGACAACGATAAATATGAAATAAGGATGTAAACAACGAGATTGAGAACGAAAAGAGTCTTATTATGAATCTACGTAAGAACAGTACAACCAGAGTAAGCCTTAGCTACGTGAGCCGTCGGCGAGATTCCTAACTCTGGTAGTCTAAGACTAAAACCCTAGTTGAGACGCAGCTCGATAAAAAAAAACCGGAAAAAACCCTAAGTGCTAAGTTTCTGTTGGTGAAAGCTCTCAAAAATCGTCTTTTGCTTCTGTCCTCTGCCTCTTGCTTATATACTCCCTTCCTAGGCGGTTTAATATTTCCACTTCGCCCAGATTCGAGTTTATCGAGAATCTTCCATTTATCTTTATCTTTCTTTTTTTCCCGCGTAAATCTTCTATTTATCCTCAAACTTGACATTTATCTTCAAATTTGACATTTATCTTCTTTTTGCGAGTAAATCGTTAAAACGTCGTCGTATCTTTGGGCTAGACTTCGTTAAAGTCGTGAGATAGGCTTTTATCGCGTTTTAGGACTTTTCAAGCCGATTTGCAATAAAACCGTTTTACGACTTTATACGAGATCGTTTCCTGATGCGATGCCATTTTTAAATAAGTTTCTCGAGTTAATCGTAAAGTTTGGCAATGTTCGATGTTTCGGTTAATCGTTGCCATTTTATACAATTTACTCGAGGTTTTATTAAAAAACGCGTTTTCTACGATTTCTCACGAAAAGTCTCAAGTAAATCGTATAGTTAGGCAATGTTCGGCATTTCGTTTAACCATTGCCGTTTTATACGATTTTCTTGAGTTCTTTCAAGAAAACAAGATTTTACGGTTTTTATCGTAAAACTTAAACAATAGGACAGATCCAGACAAAACGAGAAACGTTTCAACCGTGGTTCAGAACACGATCAAGCCGAAGGCCGTATGCCTTGAATCGAGGATGTGGGTGGTCGAGGCTCGGGAGAGTCAGCTCGACATACGGCGAGTTATTCATGAAGTGACCAGCTCGCCGTATGGCGAGCTAGCTCGATGCCACCTAGCCGTACGGCGAGCTGGTCTGGGACAAACCAGTTTGCCGTATGGCGAGCTGAACCGGTTGGTTTGGCTCGTCGTACTTCAAACTCGGTTCGGTCGAACGTGCTCGCGGTTTTATGGCAGGTGCGGTTTTTTGCGGTTTAGCGCTTAACTCGGAAAATCGTGTAATCGGTGTTTGTTTCGTTTGTTTTTCTGAAATAACGATTTCCAAGTTTTCCGCGCATTTCCTTTGTTCGAAAATTTCTTAGTATTTTATAAAACGGCTTTACGAGTTTTATAAAACGTATTTTTATATTTGCGGAAAGTTTTGGTCGTTGATTTCGTCATACCGATTTTGACCCCAATAGTTAGCCCTCCACCTCGTAAGAATCGTAGAGTTCTTTCGAGCAGTTCGAACTTGTTCGGCAAGTTTTGTAGGATTAGGCGGAACTTAATGGCCAAAAGTCCAAAGGTGAATAGTAAATTTTTTTCTTATAAGCATATGGAGCAAGTTTTCAAGTTCTTTACTCACTTCCTCTCATAAGTTATTCAAGGTTCAAGAAGTTTTCTCTCTTTTTCTCCCTTTGAATCTTCTTCCCTCTCTTGATTGATTAACATGTCTTCTGAGTGGAAGGTTTCGGTACGTGCTCATGCGTCAATCTTTAACCCAAGTGAACTTGATATTTCTAGCGGTTGTCCCCTTCCTAGGTCAATCTTCCGGCGTTTTCTTATGAACAAGAAAGAAACCGCGGAATATTGGTCAGCTGTAGGAGTCGCCGATGTTCCCCCTCCTGGCTTCTGGGTTCCAAAGAGGGATAATCTTTGGAGGAATGCGGGTAGTCCAAGTGCGAGTACCATTTGTTCCCTCAGGATTTGAGGAATTCTTGGCGATCCCTGAATCGGTACAGTTTTGCCTTCCCGTACGGGGTCAGGATGCCAAGAATCCTCCCCCGGGTTATTTTACGTATTACGAAGCTTTTCAGTTGAACTGTCAATTATGGTTCCCTATTCCGTAAGCCATTATTGAGATTTTAAATAGGTTCAACATATCGTTTAGTCAGCTTCGTCCCACCGGGTTGCAGCATCTCGTTGGGATTTTGGTGCTAAGTTATGAGCGCGGAATGTCTCTCGATGCAGATTATCTTTTGACTATGCTGACGCTCAAGCGCATAAAAGAGGGCGGTTTCTATCTATCCCCTCAGAGGAATATGACGGTTATCGGCGAGCTTTCCTCGAATGATCATGAGTGGAATGATTGGTTTTTCTATGT